TTTCTTTCTTTCTTTCTCACTCCCCACCCACTGTCCTCTTTCATAGGTGCGTGATTTTTGTCCAGTCTCTTCCCGCATCCCCCACACCCCTTTTCCCCCCAAGAATAGTCAGTCCATTCCCTTTATATGCCCCTGATTCTATTATAATCACCAGTTCATTCTGTTCATCAGATTATTTATTCACTTGATTTTTAGATTAACTTGTTGATAGATGTGTATTTATTGTTCATAATTTGTATCTTTACCTTTTTCTTCTTCTTCCTCTTCTTAAAGGATACCTTTCAGCATTTCATATAATACTGGTTTGGTGGTGATGAACTCCTTTAGCTTTTTCTTATCTGTGAAGCTCTTTATCTGACCTTCAATTCTGAATGATAGCTTTGCTGGATAAAGTAATCTTGGTTGTAGGTTCTTGGCATTCATCACTTTGAATATTTCTTGCCACTCCCTTCTGGCCTGCAAAGTTTCTGTTGAGAAATCAGCTGACAGTCATATGGGTACTCCCTTGTAGGTAACTGCCTTTCTTTCTCTTGCTGCTTTTAAGATTCTCTCTTTGTCTTTTGCTCTTGGCATTTTAATGATGATGTGTCTTGGTGTGGTCCTCTTTGGATTCCTTTTGTTTGGGGTTCTCTGCGCTTCCTGGACTTGTAAGTCTATTTCTTTCACCAGGTAGGGGAAGTTTTCTGTCATTATTTCTTCAAATAGGTTTTCAATATCTTGCTCTCTCTCTTCTTCTGGCACCCCTATAATTCGGATGTTGGTACGCTTGAAGCTGTCCCAGAGGCTCCTTACACTATCTTCGTATTTTTGGATTCTTTTTTCATTTTGCTTTTCCGGTTGGGTGTTTTTTGCTTCTTCGCATTTCAAATCGTTGACTTGATTCTTGCGATCCTCTAGTCTGCTGTTGGGATTCTGTATAATATTCTTTATTTCAGTCAGTGTATGCTTAATTTCTAGTTGGTCCTTTATCACAACCTCGAGGGTCTCATTAGATTTCTTGTAGATCTCATTAAGTTTATCGGCAGTTTCTAGAAAAATTCTTGAAAAACCTTAAAAGTGTGGTTTTGAACTCTATATCCAGTAGTTTGCTTTCCTCCATTTCTGTCATTTGTGTCCTTTTTCTTTGTCTCCGCATTTTTTATGCTTCCTTGTGTTGATAAAGTGGTTTTCTGTGCTAAGTGTCCTCTAGGGCCCAGTGGGTCAGCCTCCCCAATTACCTGAGGTGGACACTCTTGGTGCACCCCCTTGTGGTCTTTGTGCACAGTCTTGTTGTAGTTAAGCCTTGATTGTTGTAGGTATCACTGGGAGGAATTGACCTCCAGGCCAATTGGCTGTGAGAATCAGCTGTGTCTGCAGTGGGAGAACTTCTGTGCTGGAGACACCCTTATGGGGCAAGACTTGCTTCAATGGGGCTTTGGTGCTCACTGAGTCTGCCCCCTGAGTGTGTCCTTTATGGTTCCACAGAGCTGCAAACTGGATGGTCCCACTCTGACCTCTGGGTATACTGGCTCCTAGATCTCTAGGGAGGTGCTAATCTAGCCTCAGCCTTAGGCTATCCAGTAAAAGCCTCCCTGCAGGGCTTGGGCGGGGCGGGTCCCACGGGATCGACAGGGCGGGACTAGCAGTTATGGCTGCTCTCAGAGGCTCCGCTTCTCAGTGTCCCTCAGTAATCGCTGCGAGCCCCTCCGAGAGAAAGCTGCCCTCGAGTTTCGACCGATGCCAGACAGTCCCGCTTCTCCCGTATGAGTCTAGGTCCCCAGAGACTCTCCCGGAACTGGAGCTCAGAGCCTGAGACTCCCTCCGGATTGAAAAAGACAACCGCGCACTCAGCCGCCAGCCCGCTCCGCGTGCGCCTCTGTACCTTAGTATTTTACTTCCGCACCGCACCTCCTCTGAGTCTAGGTATGCTTTTCTCTTTCCTTCTAGTTGTAGAATTTCCACTCAGCCAGCCTTCCTGTGGTTCTGGGTGATGTCCGTTCCGTCTTTTAGTTGTATTTTTGAAGTGGTTGTGCGAGGCAGCAAACTCCAGTGTTTACCTATGCCGCCATCTTGGTTTCCTCACTAGTTTTCTTTATGGAACACATTAAATTAGTGAGGAAATGGGTTTTGGCTTAATCTGTTAGTATCAAAGATGTGCTGATAGATTTAGATGTTAAAGTTAAATTAAAAACCCTTTAAACTCTACATCTCTTTAATTACTTAATCCTTAAATGCAAAGTTTGTATTTAGGTAATATTGAAAATAATGGAAATAATAATAACCAACATTTGTTGAGTGATTGATCTTATTTGAGGGACTTTTTGTGAAATTTAACTTCACAACTTGTGGAAAATGGTTTTCTACAATTAGGTTCTGGTGGGTGGAAATCATATGGGCAGACTTCTAGTTATAAAATGAAAGAGAAGGTTCTATTGGTTTAATGATCTGAACAATTGACTGGAAACTGGTTTGGAGGACTGTGTTTTGTAATGTTGTAGAAATGTAACCAAGTTGTTTTACCTTCTGTAAACAAAGCACTAGTAAATAAAACTTTGTTCATCTGTTTATTTTACTTTCAAAATTAAAAAAAGGCCGGAACAGCTCTATTGTCAAAGTGGCTTCCTCCCTCCCCACACACAGAGATAATAAGCAAATGTTGTTTTGTGTTGATGGTCGGCATCATCCTCAACATCCTTACTTACTAACAGACTTTTCAGTAAAAGCCATTTTTCTTTTTATTTCCCCCCCCCCTCCCTTTGGCTCAAAATTTTTCTTTTAAGTAATCCAGTCTTCTCTGGAGTGCACAGTATAAACAGACCTTGCCACCAATGACCTTAAAATATGGATGTTGAAACCACTTGGCTTAAGAAAATGATGCCGGTGAACTGTGTCATTATTGTAATATCAAAATACTGAGACCATGTAATTTTATTAATATTAATTCTTGTAATAATAGCTTATGCCTTATCAATTTAAATTTTTCTTCCTCTGGAGATTAATGGAGGCATAGAAGAATGCTTTTCACATGAAAGCACCTTTCTTTGATTTGAAAATTTAATACAGAGTATAAATATGGATATATCTAAAAATATAAATATTTTGGATTTCACATTTAAAATTTTTTAAAATATCAAAATTATACCACTAAAGATATATTGCTATTTGGTACTTAAAAATATCCTGGTATGATAAAATGCTGGAATCTTTGAAAAGCAGTTCAGCTGTTTTGGAGATGGGAATTGTGGGCATCGGGTGGGAGATAGCCTCAAAATGAATTAACAATCTTAACTTGACTGGAAGTTGGATATTTATTACTTTTAATGTATTTTTCTTTCAGTTAAGGAGAATCTAGAGATTGTTTTATGTGTCTAAATCATTTTAATTGCAATTGAAAATATTTATAGTTTATTGTTAGTACCTTTGCCATTCTGTTTTTAAAGAATGTTTTTATAAAGTATTGACATTTTTTAAAGAATGAAAAATTTATGAAGTATAACTGAATGGTAAAATATACTATGTGCAGCCCTAGCCGGTTTGGCTCAGTGGATAGAGTGTCGGCCTGTGGACAGAACCTGGTCAAGAGCACATGCCCAGGTTGTGGCTTGATCCCCAGTAGGGAGCTTGCAGGAGGCAGCCGATCAGTGATTCTCTCTCATCGTTGGTGTTTCTATCTCTCTCTTCCTCTCCCTTCCTCTCTGAAATCAATAAAAATAAATTAAAAAAATATATAGTATGTGCAATTCTTCTAGAACTAGTAACTTAAAGACCCGTTACCTTTCTAAGTTTTGCATGTGATTTTCCCCCAACCCAGACCCCTAAAAGGTCTCTTTATTGTTGTGTTGTTGTTTTTTCCTGCAATCCTCCAGCTTACTTCTTTACCCTTCCAAGCTCCCGTTGGTGTTAGTCGGGTCATTGAGACTAGGGAGATGAATTAAGTATATTGGACCTTTTAAGATTTAGGTAGTATCCTGCCAGTCATTTCCTAATAGCATGACCATGGGCAAGTATAAGTCACTTAATCTAAGCCTTATTTTGTTTATTTTTAAAATGAATATATTTTATCCTTCCCTCCTCAGAGTTACTTGAGGATGAGACAATATATACGATAGTGCTTTAGAAACATGGTTTCCTACACAAGCACATCCACTGAGTAATTTGTTTCTTAGTTTTTTTCATCCCCACCAAGTTATATGTATATGCTTTTTCCTATTTTGATTATAAATTTAATCTGTTTTAAAAATATATTTTTATTGATTTCAGAGAGGATGGGAGAGGGGGAGAGAGAGAGAAACATCAATGATGAGAGAGAATCATTGATTGGCTGCCTCCTGCATGCCCCACACTTTGGATTGAGCCCGCAACCTGGGCATGTGCCCTGATGGGGAACCAAACCGTTTCCTCCTGGTTCATAGGTCAACACTCAACCACTGAGCCACGCTGATCGGGCAATTTAATGCATTCTTGTAGAAAGTCTGAAAAATATAGAAAACTTAAAGAAGAAAATAGAAATCTGAAAAATGCATCATCCTGTTTTCATATTTTTATGGGAAATTTAGTTTTGAGGCTGAGTTTCCTGAAGGTAAGGATAGTTGGTGTATTACTTATTTTTGAATTTTCTATTCTTTGCACTAGGCACAAAATTAATGATTGTTGAGTGAATGGCAACTTCCTTAGTCTGGGTATATTTCTTAAAGTCAAAAGCTTGGTGAAATTTTACTGGGCATTTGAAGAGAAAAGACATCTAACCAACAAAAATAATAGTGGGTGCATATTTTAAAATAACTGTTTCTTTTGGCTAAAAGAAGAAAGGAAAACATGTTAGGGTCAATCTTAATAGTCTTTGACCAAGTTAGGAAATCAGTTAAAGATGTTAGATATTGATCCACTTTGCAGTTTCATATCAAAATGGGTTGACATTTATTCAGCGAGAATAACATATGATAAAATGTAAAGACCTTTTTTTTAAATGCTTGGAAATTGTAACAATTTTCTTTTTCCTTTTTAAATTTTTTATTAAATAGGATGGCTTAAATTCCTTGGTCCTTGATTTGGATTTTCCTGCTTTGAGGAAAAACAAGAATATAGATAATTTCTTAAATAGATGTAAGTATGTTAAACTTCATATTTGATCCCATGACTATACTTTGATGAGAGATTTATGTTTGATTAACATTATTAAAGTCCATATAAACTTATTGACTTATTAAACTTAAGTAATTTTTAGCTTGCCACTTTAATATACTTTTATTGATTTCAGAGAGGAAGGGGGAGAGAGAGAGAGAAAGAAACATCAATGATGAGAGAGAATCATTGATCGGCTGCCTCCTGCACGCCCCACACTGAGAGTCGAGCCTGAAAGCTGGGCATGTGCCCTGACTGAGAATTGAACTGTGACCTCCTGGTTCGTAGGTCGATGCTCAACCACTGAACCACACCGGCTGGGCTAAATACTAATATTCTTTATTTTCAAAGCAAAACTGCAGGACCAATTGTAGCATATAATGTAGGTAAAGTTCAAGATTTTGTATAAATTGTTCAGACTAGTGGTTTTCAGGACAGGTTATTTATGGCAGTTTCAAGAGAAGTTTTAAATTAATATTAACAACACTAAGACCTCTACATTATTCGGAAGACTTAATGAGCTTTATGTTTGCATAAATGTAGACATTTCAATCTAGTTAGTGAAAGATAATGTAATAATTATTGCCATATAAGTGGTAACTCTTAATATTTTGTTGGTATTGATGTTGATGTGAAGGTGTAAATGAAGTTGAATTCTAAGAATAAGAAATTTTTAAAATAACTAATACATATTTTATATCAACACCGGTAAGCGCTTTAATTTGGAATTGTCAGAGACTGGACTGTTTTCCTAATTCCACAATCCTGTCTATAGTTACCATATCTATAATATGTGGTTACTAAAGAAGCAGGCTTCCCAAAAATTCATTGCTAAGATTAGCCCTGCAAGTAATTTTATAGCAACTTTCTTTCATGACTTAGAATGCACTCAGGATCGCTTGGGTCATTACTGTTTCAGCTGTCATCTAACTTGCCAAGCAACAGAGTCAGAAACAGAATAGCTTAACTGCTACTTTTTGGTAGTAGTGTTTGTTTATATATGTTAATAAACCATAGCGTTTTGATTCTTTGACGTGAAGTTAATGTGTATCTTAGATTTTTAAATAGCAACCTTTAAAAACTGACAGATATAGCTGAAAACTAAGCCAAATTTCTTGGAATAAAAATTTGTTTACAAATATGCTGATTATTTTAAAATATTCTTTATAAATGTGATGATTAACATTACAAATATGGTGACCTTTTTATTGTAGATGAGAAAATTGTGAAAAAAATCAGAGGTTTGCAAATGAAGGCAGAAGACTACGAGGTTGTAAAAGTTATTGGAAGAGGTGCTTTTGGCGAAGTCCAGTTGGTAAGAAAATATTAGTATTGTTTTTATTATTTTGACGACATAGTTTGTGAAGCATTATCAGTAGCCCTGGAGTAGATCTAATTTCTTTGCCCAGCCAGGCCAGAGTTAGCTTTCTGAGGTTGGTCAAGTCATTCCATCTCTGAGAGCCTCAGTGTGTTCATCTATAAAAGGAGGCAGTGCTATATAATAAAAGCCTAATATGCAAATTGTTCGACCGGGAGTTTGGCCACTTGCTATGATGTGCGCTGACCACCAGGGGGCAAAGCAGACCATGGCTGTTGTTGGCGACGTGGCACTGGCAATGGGCGGCAGTGGAGTCACTGCCAGCCCCGATGGGCCCTGATGAGAGCAGGACTATGGCGGGATGGTGGAGTAGATGGGCGGGTGTGAGCGGGGGCCTGATCGCCCTGCTGATTGCCCCACAAATGGCAACCACCGGTGGGGGGCAAGGCCGCCATCTGGCTCCCAGGTGCTGAGGGAGCTGGGCGGGGGGCCTGGCCCCAACCAATCGTCCTGTAGGCAGGATGGTGGAGCAAGTGAGGCGGCAGCACCAGGCCACAGCGGGGTGCCAGGCGGGGCTGCGAGCCTGGAGGCATGAGCTGGGTCCCAATCCCCGCAGGCCACCCGAAGGGCCCCATCCGTGCACGAATTCGTGCACCGGGCCTCTAGTTGTGCTGTAAACACCAGGTCTCTTACCAGCTCTGAAACAATGAGATTTAGAAGAAAGCTTCACACATGATCTCCTAGTGAATATTCCACCAGAACTACTGTGTTTTATTTATATGTTCAGATTAATAGCATCTCTGCTTAATTAACTAAGGTTTATTCAGATATATGAGAAGCCCAGCAAAGACACTTTAATAACTGAAATTTATCTTTAAAAGGCAAAGTGGTACCAACTCGAAATATTGTAAATGTTTGTAATAAATATTTCATTTATAGTATTAAATGAGAAACTATAATAATATTCCTGTTTCTATCACCTGTGTATGAAACTTCTCTGTGTCCTTACAGTTTAATTATGAACTCAAATTCTGTATTTTACTCAATAGTGTTTTATTCTTCTTGACTGAGCACTGAGAAAAGCTGTGATTACTATGTACCAGCCCAGGTTTCTCTAGGAACAAGTCATGACAGACTAATGTTTGTCTTTTCCTTCCCTTTTATTACCTCTTTCTTTGATATATTTATTGAATTTATAGATCAGAGTAGTGTAATAGCTGTAATATGTATCTGTAATAGATTTGAAAAAGTCTGACATACATGAGGATGTTAAGGAGAAATGTTAATAAGCATATGGGTAGGCAGCTTTATACTAATTTAATCTGTATTCTAATGAGCCTGATGAAGACATGAATGGTACCTTGGACAGAGATCCCCAGGGACAGGTTCTAGGGTTCTCTACTCTCTTATTAAATATTTTATTAATAAATTTTATGGAGGCAGTGGTGGAATGTTGAATAATTTTGCAAATGAGCTAAACCTGAAATAATTTTAGATGATGAGCCCAAATCCAGAAGTCATCAGTTGGGGAGATAATTGGCTAGATAGAAGTGAAATTTAACCAGAGTAATGACCTATAGTGGGATTTGAAGAACTCAGGAATAGATTGCTTAATAGTAATTATGGATGAAAGAACAATTTTCCTTGAATGTTCAGACACAGTCACATTCTGAGGTACTGCAGGTTAGGCCTTCAAAATATGACCTTGGTGGTGGTGGTGGGGGGAAACAATACATAACTCATCCCATAAAAGCTATAGGTACTAGAGTCCCGGTGCATGAAATTCGTGCATGGGTAGGGTCCCTAGGCCTGGCTGGTGATCAGGGCCGATTGGGGCCTTCCTTCATTCCGAGCTGCCTCCTGGTGGTCAGCGCACGTCATAGCGAGCAATCAAACTCCTCTCAGTCTCCCCGTGGAACTCCCGAGGGGATACTTTGCATATTAGCCTTTTATATATATAGATGTTGGGATGACCTTCAGTGACATCAACCCTTTTGACCACAGTATAAATGCTTCCTTGTTTGTTTTTTAGTTTTGTGGTTTTTTTTACTAATTTATCTTGGATATAACCCTCTTTACTTTGAAAAAGAAGGTTAGAAATTCTAGCCTTGCGAAGGTTTTCTTAAGGTAAATATGGCTTTCATCTCTATTAATACAATATACATTGTTCTTCAAATATTCCTTTGGTTAATTGATTAACATGTTTATTGAATGTCAGGTACCATTTTAAGTGCTAGCAGTACATTATATAGGTCAGTGATGGCGAATCTTTTGAGCTCGGCGTGTCAGCATTTTGAAAAACCCTAACTTAACTCTGGTGCCGTGTCACATATAGAAATTTTTTGATATTTGCAACCATAGTAAAACAAAGACTTATATTTTTGATATTTATTTTATATATTTAAATGCCATTTAACGAAGAAAAATCAACCAAAAAAATGAGTTCACGTGTCATCTCTGACACGCGTGTCATAGGTTCGCCATCACTGATATAGGTGCTCACACAAGGCACCTGCATTCAAAGAGCTTTTATTTTGACCTGGTCAGTATAATAGTTTCAAAATGAAACTGTGGTCTAAGTTCTAAAAATAGTTCTAAATTAACCTTTTGAAAACATAATGCATAAATATTAGGAACTAAAGGCCCAATGCATGAAATTCGTGCAAGGGGCTGAGCCCTTGCTGCCCTGGCTGCCTCGGCCAGCCCTTGCAGCCTTGGCCGGCCCTCGCAGCCTCGGCTTCGTCTGGAATGTCATCCGGCTGTTCGGTCTAATTAGCATATTAGCTCTTTATTATATAGGATTACTTATATGATTGTTTATTTGGAGGAGGTATAAGAAAGTTTTCATGGCTAGCAGTAGAAATATTTTTAGCATTTTTATTTTTGAAGTCATATCTTATTTTTGGCATTTGGGAACCTTATATTTAGCTAGTTTTGTGATATTGCCTACTCCACTTGTTCTTCAGAAAAGTCTTAGGTGACATTAAATTTTTTCCTGATGATTGTTTTATTTAAAACTACACAAATTAGTATATGAATGCATTCTTACTCTCAACATTCTAAATTATTTAGGATTAGGTAGAATGCATTGATAATTGGAAACATTTGGGGATGTTGGAAAATTTGTGTCAAATTATTTTCAGTGGATATTTATATTTTATCCTAATTACTTTTATTTGAGGAAAGTTGAAACCTTTTCCTATTATTTAGAATGATTTCAAAAGCTTTTGTCTAAAAATGTTTCAGGAGATCTAGGTCACTTTAGGATTTTCCATGCATGTCTTTAGTTACATGTACGAATGTTTTATCTACTTAAAAAAATTTTTTTTTTAAAGAAATACATATTAGCCCTAGCCGCTTTGGCTCAGTGAATAGAGTGTCGGCCTGTGGACTGAAAGGTCCCAGGTTTGATTCCGGTCAAGGGCACATGCCCGGGTTGCGGCTTGATCCCCAGGTGTGCAGGAGGCAGCCAATCAATGATTCTCTATCATCATTGATGTTTCTGTCTCTCTCCCTCTCCCTTCCTCTCTGAAATCAATAAAAATATATTTTAAAAAAAGAAATACTTATTAGCTGTAGAAAATACAAATCACCCAGAATTCCATCAGCTGAGATGAAACCACTGTTAACTCTATTTTTAGGGAGAGAAAGAAACATCAGTGATGAGAGAATCATGGATTGGCTGCCTCCTGCATGGGGATTGAGCCTGCAACCCGGGCATGTGCCCTTGACCAGATTGAACCTGGGACCCTTCAGTCCGCAGGCGGATGCTCTGTCCACTGAGCCAAACCAGCTAGGACAGTGGTCGCCAAACCGCGGCTTGGGAGCCACATTCGGCTCTTTGGCCCCTTGAGTGTGACTCTTCCACAAAATACCATGTGCGGGTGCGCACATACAGTGCGATTGAAACTTTGTGGCCCACGCGCAGAAGTCGGTTTTCAGAAAGGAGATAGACGAAACAAGTATACAAGACGAGTGTGGATGGGAGAGTTGGAAGGGGTCAACCTCAGCGAACGTACCTCAATCAGATGGAGGACATTTTTAGCAAAGGCCAGCTTAGGAGTACCCTAATTAAGTTAATAACAATGTACTTACCTATGTAGTTTAAGTTTAAAAAATTTGGCTCTCAAAAGAAATTTCAATCGTTGTACTGTTGATATTTGGCTCTGTTGACTAATGAGTTTGCTGACCACTGAGCTAGGACTACTGTTAACTCTTTTGGCCCTTGCCCTAGCTGGTTTGGCTCAGTGGATAGAGAGTCGGCCCTTGAACTGACCAGTCACTATGATGTGCACTGACCACCAGGGGGCAGTTGCTCCAACCGGTAGGTTAGCTTGCTGCTGGGGTCCGTCCTATCGCGACTGGGTGAGACGGGCTGGACATGCCCTGGAGCCCTCCTGTAGTACCTCCCTGGCCAGCCAACCTCCTGCGGTCCTTCCCCGGCTGGCCGGCCAACCTCCCACAGTCCCTCCCTGGCTGGCCGGCTGTGATTGCTGGCCCGGCCGAGAGACCCCACCTGTACACGAATAGTTATAAAATTATCCACTTTGAATGTTGATTTATGTTACCTTTGTAAAATCTGGAGCAATTACACAGATATCAACTGCATCATTATCAACCATGAGTTACTATAAGTGAACGACTCATAATATTCTCCAAAACCACTATTATATTGCAATGTCATTATGGCATAAATAAAGGACTTTCAGCAATAGCCTGTGTGCCCTGGTATATATATACCCCAAATATTCTTCTATATAATAAAGAGGTAATATGCAAATCGACCCTCACACCGTGACACCGTCACAAGATGGTGGCGTGCACAGCGGGGGCGGGGCCCGGCGGCTGCTCCACGTGGCTTCCGCTGGGGTTCCCTGCAGCCTCACGGGGCTGCGGGGGTCCCAGCGGCCGCTTTGCACGGCTTCTGCTGGGGTTTCTGCGGCCCCGCGGCCACTCCACCGCCTCCTGGAGGCGGGGCATCGGGCGGCACTCCAGGA